AAGAAGAAGAAATTGAAGAAATTACAGCAGTAAAGAGAGTAGAAAGTGGGTGGTGAGCGAGCGAGGTAAGGAAGGGGTGGACAGACAATTGGCGTGAAAAACAACAACAACATGGCTCTGTATTGGCCAGTACTACGGTGTATATGTAAAAGGTGCAGCAGAAAAAGAATCAGGCTGGGCACAATTTCTAACTGTAGTAGGGCTTGATGTTGTTTGATATGACAAGAGTTCCTGCAGAATCAATCTGTTTTTCCACAGAGTGTATAATTGCAGCTCTATTTTCTACACTTTCTGAGACATTCAGAACTATTTGTATTGAATTCCCATATATTCTCCCATTCAGTACTAGCTTGGCTTCAACAACATACCGTAACAACCTCCATTCTCCTAGACCATTCTGAGACTTGTTTATTATTGGAAATAAGCTTATTAAGAAGATATGAAGAGAACAGTGTTGCTACATCAGATGACTCATGAATTGATTTTCATCTTTGGCATGTATTTTTCTGCTTTACACTAAATATAGTTTTCCAGTCCCATTCTGACAGAGATATACTTCTATGAAATAACGAAGTATTTGTTTTTTGTTAATCAGAGAGGAAATCATCACACCCATCTCCTCAGATGATCCTTCTGCAAGCAATACTACAAAGATTGTAGCTCTGTGAGTTGAGTACCTGGCTGCAGAGTCAGACGCTGGGGATTCCGTTTCCCACTGTGCCTCCTGGGAGAAGAACCAGCCCACGTAGCTTTGGGCAAGCTGCACAGTCCCAAAGCACCTCTGGAAAATGGAACTAGCAAACCATTTCTGAATATGCCTGGAAAACCCAGCAAGAGCAACCTTAGTTCAGAATTTACTTTACTGAATGTAATCATTATTAAATCACCCACTAATTATTATCTCCCTGGTTTAGTTCCTTCTTAAGAATCCTTAATAATCACCTTTACTTGTGGCACAGTCGTTAAACCGCTGTACTGCAGCTAAAACTGTGCTCACGACCTGGGGTTCAAATCCCAGGTAGCCGGCTCAAGGTTGACTCAGCCTTCTATCCTTCCGAGGTCGGTAAAATGAGTACCCAGCTTGCTGGGGGGGGGGGCAATGTGTAGCCTGCATAATTAAATTGTAAACCGCCCAGAGAGTGCTTGAAGCGCTATGGGGCGGTATATAAGCAGCATGCTTTGCTTTTGCTTTGCTTTAATTATCAAAAGTACAGGTTTGCAAGGGTATCATTTCCATTCCTGGTGAAAACAACAAGGTTGGTGCTAAAGCATTCTTATTTATATTAGGCACGGGCAGCCAATTACAATGCATTATCATATCATTATCGTATCATGTGACATGTTCTTGTAACACTAAACTGTGATTTATTATAATTTCCCTCCAGGGGTGTGTGAGGAAGACCACCTGGTGAGTGTTGTGACCAAGTGCAGCTTGAAACCTACATCTCCTCCATATAAGTCTGACAGTTTGCACTTTGCTATTTTAAGGAGTTCTTTTTAAGGAGAAAGGCAATATAAAAATATTGGAAGGAAGGAAGGAAGGAAGGAAGGAAGGAAGGAAGGAAGGAAGGAAGGAAGGCAGGCAGGCAGGCAGGCAGGCAGGCAGGCAGGCAGGCAGGCAGGCAGGCAGGCAGGCCTTTGTTCTTATTTGTATTTGGAACTTGTCATAATATTATTTCACACTTGATTCAGTGCAAGTGCTCAGCCCCTTAACAATAAAGAGACTAAGGAAGAAGATGGCATCTGGACAAGTTCAGACATATAGTCTTGTGTGTCTTTCCTCTCTGTAACTAAAAACAAAACAATGTTTTATTAAAACCAAGAGCTTCAGCCTAGTCATTTTAGGGCAAGAAATGGGAGGGAACTCTTCACCACCTCCCCCTGCTTTCAATAATCTGCTCAGTCACAAGCACCTTTCTGTTCTGAGAATTGGTGGATGCAGCAGGTCTGAGCAGACAGCTAGTTTGGGTCTGGCTAATGCTGCTTTCAACCTTCCCCTCTCTGGATTACATATCTGGAGAATTTTTAACAGGATTTCTCTAATGCTTCTAGAAATGTTGAAACCTCAGAACAAATATTGACTCTGAGGCAAATTGCCTGGACAGGAGAAAAATAAACCTTTTCATATAACAATAAAGTAGGTTTAAGGAGGAGGAGGATGAAAACAAGTATAATTAAATCCTTACGTCCAACTGTTTTAAATGATATAAACCCCCTTCAGGGGTCCTCATTTGTATCACCACACCCTTTCTTTTGCACGAAGCAACCAGCCTACAGTATTGGGGTTAGGCTAGAAACAAGAAGTTCAATCACTTCTTCAGTGATGCTGAACATAAGACTTTACAGCTCACTGGTGGTACCCTCTGTGTGGGGAGAACTATATGTCCTGGGAGGCTAAGAGTTTATAGGTCTAGCCTCAGAAGCACCTTCGGGTATTCATGAAACATTCAAGTGGATCTGGGTTGTACCTGACAAACATACCTCCTACATGCCAATGCATGACTGGCCTATGCTATCTGGCTGCTGTGTGTCCTGCGTCAGTGTAAAGGAACCCTACATGCGTAACAGAGCAGAGCTTGAAAAAGTTAGATTTTGAACAAATCAAAAGCAACATGTTGGAGCATCTAGAATCTTCCAGCCCGTGGCTATTACCATGAGGTAATATTTGATATTTTTCAGGCTCACTGCCAAATTTGACAATGACCAACTTTACAAAGGCCAAAGACCATTGCAAAGGTGTGTGAAAGAAGCCTTGCAGAGGAATTGGTATCAGCGGTTACAGGAAGTTCTACATATTGGGTAGATCACTCCTCTCTTCCCAATGAGAGGAATGGGCTAAATAGGGTTGCTTTGAGGTGTGAATGCAAGAATCAATCTAAATGGTTGCCTGTACAGTGGGGTCTTGACTTGAGAACTTAATCCGTATTGGAAGGCGGTTCTCAAGTCAAAAAGTTCTCAGGTCAAATCTGCATTTCCCATAGGAATGCATTGAAAACCATTTGATCCGTATCTGCTCTTTTCCGTCCATAGAAACTAATGGGAAGCTGCTATTCTGCCTTCGACCACTAGAGGGGGATATTTTGTTTCTTTTTTTCTTAGGTCAAGAAAGGTTCAGGGAAGGCAGGGAAAAGACAGTCCAGGCAGGACAGTACCAGGCAGTCTGAAGACTGTCTCCCAATCCACTCTCTAAACGCTGGGAGGAGTGAGGAAGCAGACAGGCACCCTTTTCTCAGGCTCACTGCCAAATTTGACAATGACCAACTTTACAAAGGCCAAAGACCATTGCAAAGGTGTGTGAAAGAAGCCTTGCAGAGGAATTGGTATCAGCGGTTACAGGAAGTTCTACATATTGGGTAGATCACTCCTCTCTTCCCAATGAGAGGAATGGGCTAAGCTAAATAGGTTTGAGGTGTGAATGCAAGAATCGATCTAAATGGTTGCCTGTACTTCAGAGCAACCCTATTTAGCTGAATCTAGCCCAGGACAACTTGACTGTCTAGTTATACTCTGAGTTTTTTTTAGGGTAGATTGGTTTCTTTATGTCACAAATGCATTTAATAATCACAAAACACTCCTTAATAATATCAATGGTGTTAATTGAGCCCTGAGACTTTTCTGCCTTAGTGATATAAACGCTAAGTCTTTTTTATTAAGTGGCAACAGGACAGAGAAACAAAAAGTCTTCGTTTCAGAAAGGACTGCATCTCTTGGCTTCTGGGGTGGGGCGGCCATGATAGCCTGTGTCAGCAAAACTGTAACTCCTCTGACATCCTGTATTTACTGGCAAATGCCAGGAGTTAATCCCACATCCTCCAGCAAAGAGATTTCTGGCACTTGAAAGACTAACCAATTTGGTTTAGCATTTTTTCATTACATAAACCTTTATTGGCATTTGATTACATTTAAAGGAGTAAACAGTGTGACCAAGAGATTAAAGGGAACAAATTAGAACTGAAGTTGGGAAGGATGGGGGTTGTGGTTTCTCATGAGAATGTTTGACAGAAATTCCGCCACGAGATAGGTAGTAGTTGGAAGGGAATCACTAAGGAGGATTGGGAGGGGATCGGAAAGGGCAGGAGGGAGGGTTAGGAGAAAGGGGTTTAGTAGGGAAGATCTAAGGGCGGAGTGAGAGGGGCAACGAAGTAGGATGTGGGCTACTGTGTCTGGTTCACGGGAGCAGGATGTGCATAGTCTGTTTGGTCGGGGAGTATTGGAATATCTACCAAGATGGTAAGCGGACGGGAAGATGTTAAAACGTGCAAGAAGGAAGGCCCTCCTTTTCCTTGGGTCAGTCAGGTGAAAATTCTAGTCTTCTCCAAATCATGGTTTAGCATAAACTCTAATGGTCTGCAACCCACTTTTTCAGATGCATCTTGCATGTACCACATATCAATACAGATGCCTCCAAGATTATTTTTAAAAGGATGTTTCCAATGTTGGTTACCACTCAAGTAATGTCTATTGACAACCACTGTTAAGTTAATGCTCACTATCACTACCTTTTGCATTCCAGCTTCCCATCACCCTACTGATTACTTCATTCCCCTCCATGTGTATAATATGCTGCCAGTTGAAACAATGCTCCATGCACTAGGTGAAGTAAGCTGCAGTACGCAAAAGTTTATAGCAATCAAACTTTTCAGTCTTTAAGGAGCCTCACAACTCTATCTTTCAATTCATTATGTTCTCTCACTCCAAAAGGCTAAAGCAGATCTTGCAGCACCTCTTTGCCTCCCTGGTTTTATTTTTGTTTCAGAGAGTATTACACAAACTAGTGTTGAGGCATCCTGTCCTCTGGGCACATGGCTTCAGATGTATTTGCAACACCACCTGCAGAGCCAGTGGTTGGGATCAAGGATCAGGGCAGTTCCTCCTGCTGCAAGAGTTATGCAAGAAAGACCTTTGTTGTGAGAAGACTTTAACTAGCAGCTGGAAATGGTCAAGCTCCTCTCTCTCTCTCTCTCTCTCTCTCCACTCCCCTTAACAGTATTGATCTTCTGCCTGTTGGGTTTACATAAGAACTGCTTCCCACCTGCCTGGGTGCTATAAAACATGTACCCAGCGTTTCCCTCCCATTTGTAGCTGTTTGGATCTCTTCAAGCAAGTATCCTCTTCGGTTATTAGGATCCTGATCTTTGGTGATTATGAAACTTACTACTCAAAGAAGATAGGAGTCTTGCAGTTCTAGTCCTGCCCCACCTTTTAAGAATATGACAGTTTTAAGATTTTTGCCATTTCCAGCTTCATCTTCCATCAGCTTTAAAGAGTGTGCCGTTCATCCTTTCCTTTGTGGTCTCTTGGGACATACTTTGCTTTCTTCTCTGTGATGATTGTTTTTGTTTTCTCTGTATGTTGCAGGGGGAAAAGAGCAAGATGGTACCTACCAGGGGACTTGTTGCCTGGGTGGTGCTGATGGCCCTGGCATTGTTGGACCCCAGATGCCATGCACAGCGTGACTGTCGAGTGAGCAGCTTCAAAGTCCAGGAAAACTTTGACAAGTACCGAGTAGGTGTTTTGGATTCTCTTTTCTTTTCTTTCACTCTTTACTCGTTAGACACCTGTCCTTTTCTTCTTTGGAGATCCAGTTCTCTAAGTGGTATAATCAAAGCAGAAAACAACACGCTGCAACCAAACCCCTGACCTCTGAATCCTAAACAGCATATTGCAAAAAATGGTGAGCCATTCCAACTTCTGCTGGAGCATCAGCACCATCAAAATAAAATATAATCCAAAACATGAGTGGAGGAATTATTTCTTTGGCTACAACTTTCAGAATGCCAGTGGAGGATTTGAGAAGTTGTATGTATGTATGTATGTATGTATGTATGTATGGAGCATCAGCAGCATCAAAATAAAATATAATCCAAAACATGAGTGGATGAATTATTTCTTTGGCTACAACTTTCAGAATGCCAGTGGAGGATTTGAGAAGTTGTAGTCCATAATAGCAGCTTTCCCAGGCTCTGTCTGTAATACATAGAAAAGAAAATCAATGCTAACAACTGTCAGGTTAAAGCTGAGAAATGGTAGAAATGAGGTCCATCAGATTCTTATGTGAGCAAAATTTGGAACAGGATTAGATTTAGTTCTGAGCTGTTATTGCTGTTGGTCCCCATTTATTAGTTGCCTAGATTAGCATGGTTAATTATCCAAACATTCAAGTTCATTCTTTACAGGAGGACAACTGTGTATATTATCTCCTATGTTCTGTCTTTGCAGAATGCAGAAATAGTATTTTGACTGACTTCCATGTTTCCTAATGGGCTGCATTATTGGTGGGCTTAACTGGTCCTTAATGGTAAATCAGCTAAACTCTAAAATAGATACTGCTGGTTTAAATGTTTGGAGTCAGACTTTTCTCTTTTAATTCCTCCGTATTGAGTCCATTATTTCCCTGTGTCGCTTTTCTCTTTACAAGATGTTGCCCTTCACTTCTCTCAGGTATACATTCTGTTGTAGGTGCTAGTTATTGATTAAGACACTTCTAGCCAAAATAATTCACTTGTCTTGTGCTCTTATCATATAATGCCTGTCACCAAATTCCTGCACTGACTTCCTGTCTGCTTAGCTTCCAAGCTCTCGGTGGCCTTGCCCCCTTATCTCTTCATCACCCTCTCCTGGCCAAAGGTTCCCTGCTCTCTCAAAAAACTGACCTTTCCCCTTGGTTGCCCTCATGCCAGGAGGTGCCTTCCCGAACAGTTGTGTGCTGTTTCTTCTTTGACTGGTTTCAAATGTCTCCTTAAATCCTTCCTTTTCTGTAAAAGGCTTTGTCACAATGAAAAGCTGACATTAGAAATCTCGACTCAGAGCCTGAAAAAGTAACTTTTTGGACCACAACTCCCACAGAATACCTTCCCCTCATATTCCAGATAGTCATCAGCCTTCGTACTGGTAGAAGAAGTATGCCAAACAAAACTTGCCTAAATGACTTGTGAAAGTCCTGTAGGATTTTGAATACAGTGGGGTCTCTACTTAAGAACTTAATCCGTATTGGAAGGTGGTTCTCAAGTTGAAAAGTTCTTATGTTGAATCTGCATTTCCCATAGGAATGCATTGAAAACCATTTAATCCGTATCTGCTCTTTTCCATCCATAGAAACTACAGTGGATCCTCTACTTAAGAACTTAATCTTCCAGATCGTCATCAGCCTTCGTACTGGTAGAGGAAGTATGCCAAAGAAAACTTGCCTAAAAGACTTGTGAAAGTCCTGTAGGATTGTGAATACGAGGGCTTTGCTCATGTTTTTCGAAAGATTATGAGAGTTAGTCCTTTCAGTTGCCACTAATTCTGTTATAATCATTGTTTTTTCTCAGGACGGAAACTGATGTTGGAGGTGGCCTGTGATTAGAAGAGAAAAATCCTTAACTAATGAAAGCATCCAAGTGTAATAGCAGGAGCTTATTTTGTCTTCGGGATTGTGCAACTTGACTTGTTTTGTTCGGTGGTGGGTTCCAGGACCTCAGTACATGATTCCTTTAAACCAATTTTGCAAACATGAAAAGACTGCTTCAGTCACCTCTGTGTTATAGTAATGTGGTTTCAGCTGTAATTAGGGTGGTCTCAAACCTCTGTTTCTAGCCTCCTAATCCCTCAAATAATTATTCTCAAAGAGATTGTGATGAATTTGGATAATTTGGACAAAATTAGCTGTGAATCCTGAAAATGTGTCCAAAACCATTGGAGCAACTTTTTATAACCCTTAGATATTTTACTTGAGATGTTTCCGCGCCCCCTCCCTGCCATGAGCTTGCATCTCTATTTTCATTTTGGTAAATTTTGGGGTGCCAACTCTATGGCTAAAACTGTAACTTGGGGACCTATTTTCTACAGCCATGACAGAACATGGTTCCATGTGTGTTCCCTTTACTTCCTTCCATATAGGCCTGATAAAGAATGTTTCTTCCCTTCCTGCAGTATGCTGGAACTTGGTATGCTATGGCCAAGAAAGACCCTGAAGGACTGTTTCTCCAGGACAATGTGGTAGCCTCGTTTTTTGTTGACGAGACTGGGAAGATGACTGCTACTGCAAGGGGCAAAGTGCAGTTGTTCAAGTAAGTCAGCTGGACTTTTTCTGGTTTTATTTCTTCCTTTAAAACAAGGTCACCCCTACCAGTGGAAGACAGGAGGGCCTGGCGTGCTCTGGTCCGTGGGGTCACGAAGAGTCAGACATGACTAAACAACAACAACAACCATTAGACAGAGTGAGGTGTCTGCCTTGGGCAGCTGGTTTAAGGTATCATGAAAAAGCAGCAAGTCATTAGTTATTCACACTGTATTGATGCTGCATTTTTACTACCAAGGAGTACAGGTGCATATAAGATGTCCTATACCAGGTGCCCAAGCCCTGGTGGGCACTCACTGAGCACTCATACATAGGGAAAGACAGAATATAACTTAACTGACCATGGATATTTGTCGTAACTGCCCATACAATAAGTCAGAAGGAGAAAGTCATCTTGGGTGCCAAATAAGGGACAATTTGAAGGAAGGAGACGCAATAGCTTCTTGACGGTTACCCTCCATTAGAAAACAGAGCTCTGTGCTTGGCTTTAACTAGCCTCTTCCATCAAGTACAATACAAGATGTTCTCTTATCACTCCTGTTGGCCAGTCTGGTTGGCTTCTGTATATGGGGTAGGGAGGAGGCACCATTTTGGCTTTCACCTAAAGCAATAAACCATTTTGGGCTAGTCCTGAGTACTATGCATCTTTACTCGGGTGGGGAGGGGGGACAAAGACAGGAATTTTGATCAATTAATAATGAATGAATGAATCTATCTATCAATCAATCGATTGGATTCTACGTGGATTCCATTTCCCAGAACCTTACAGCCAGCGTGGCCAGCTTTGCTAGACTGTGTTTTTCTGGTAACTGAAGTCTAGAAAACAGGCATTTCGATCTCTGGGAAGCAGGGGATCATTTATTATTCTATTTCAGGTATGATAAATGTCTTGGGCCAACCGTACCTCAGGGGGTCCTGCACGTTTGCTACCTACTCTCACTCTTTAGTCCTCTAATTGCATTCTGCACAGGCAGAGTTGTAGAAGGCTAACTCTCTATCTCTCCTCTTTTCAGTAACTGGGACATTTGTGCTGACATGGTTGGCTCATTCACAGAAACAGAGGATCCTGCCAAGTTCAAGATGAAATACTGGGGTGTGGCATCCTATCTCCAGAAGGGAAGTGAGTGCGACTCTGTAAGATTGCAATATATGCAAGAGGGGTGGAAAGAATCTTCACTAAATTCCTCATTCAGTCAGACCAGCAATAGATATTTGAGACAGCATGTAATCAGAGCAGAAATCACATTAATTTTGCACTTTTTCCAGGTTGTGAAATCAGACTTCAGAGCTATAATATGCTTAGTTGTGAAGACATCAGACAAAGCAAGCAAACCTGGATGCATTCGCGAAGGCTTTCACGGCCGGGTTTTATAAGTTAAAGATTTTTTTTTCTTCTAGGCACAGTCTACCTCTAATGTTGTTTCTGACCTTATGCTGTCCAAACAAAATGAGACACCCCAGCAAGGGATTTTAAAGTCCTGTGAAATTCCTTGCCAGACACTTTTTAGGATCCTTTCCTCTTGGAAGCAAATAGTACACTTGTATACAGGAAACAGTGAGGTTAAGAAAGATACTAACAGCTCATTGAGTGGTCCAAATTCATAAATAAATCAGCATCCATTAATGGCATTAATTTGTGCAGATACAAAAACTTGCACAAAAGTAGGAAATTTTGTTTCAGATGGCTCCTCTCCTCACCCACAAGAAAAATTAGTTCTCACTAACATGAGCAAAGGCTATGCTTTTATCTTCTTTCCCTTCCCCAATAATCTGCCATTTGCTTGAATAATCTGATTCTAGAGGTCAGTTCTAGAGGTTGCATTCTTCTTTATTCTGAGGATAACAAGGGTGGACATCATGATGGGTCAAACATTAGCCTCTTTTTCAGCTTGATAGGAAAATATGACTGTATTTGTGCTGGATCTAGTCCACGCATGAAACGGAATGAGACAGCAGAGGGCAAAGGTTGTACAATGCATCACTGTATCACTGCAGATTGCAGAGAGGAACACTCTGCTCTGTGCTAAAAACCCCTGCAGATACAGAATCAAACCAGCATAGCTGGGAAGTCTTTGGTTAGTAACTTTGGATAGCGGCATGATCACTTCATTTTAAGTAGTGAGGCTCTCTGCTTGCTCAAGTGTACAAAAGATGGGGAAACAGCTACCACATGTGAAGAGGACTATAAAAGCAAACAGGATTTTGTCCTGAATCTGATCTGCTAGCTTTCTGTTTGCATAACAAACATAACATTTGTTATGTTTTGGGGGATGTTCAAAAATAATAGCTCAATATGTGGCCTAAAATAGCACTTCATTCTTATACACATGAAGACTCAGGTTAAACAGCTGATGGGGCTGCATGTAGCTGGTTGTTCATACAAGCCACACATCTCTCTAAGCCATAGTTTACGTAGCTTGTGGTTATATCTGGAATGTACGTGGGTGTGAGAGTGTGTGCTTTTAGAGGGGATATTTCAGATGTAAGGAGACAAAGGTGTGTATCACTCACCCTTAGTCTAAACCTCACTCAGCACTGGTTGTATCTGACCAACAACCACATTCTCAAGAGAAGGCACACCCTTGATCCCACAAACAGTTGCATTTTCTTGATTTAACTCAAACAGCAAGGAGAGAAATAGGAATATTAAAGGTATCTAGTACTGTAATTTTAAGTAGCTGAAATCGGGGTGGCATTTGCTTTTTGGATGGTATGTCCCAGAATTCTACACTCAGCCCCCTCAAACCCCACCAAATGTTTTTTATCTTTGTTAAGCAGGAACACAAAGAGGAGTCATCATGATTCTTCCATAACTGAAACTCAAACCATTACCTGGGAAACATACATATTTGTCACTTTCACTCCCCACTGCGTTACTGAGATTTTTCAGATTTTCAGATGACCTTAGATGATACACTTAACGTGCTTGACCATAGAAGATACACTTAACACATTTTTAGAACAGGTGCTCCCTCAAGTGGTATACAGGGTACTGTATATTTGTCATAGTATGAGATTTTCCTTAACAGGTTAGCAATATGCTTTATGTTAGGACTGGCCAGTGCCATTGGAAGATAAACATGGCCCTAACTGGCAAATCCGTTTGCCAAGGCACAAATCTAGTAGTAGGATGGAAAATGGGTTCATTGGAGGAAATACACATTCTCCTTCATATCTTGTTTGAACCCAGGCAAGCAAGTCAAAGTAAATTAGTTAGTGCTCTAAGAATCCTGTGCATTTAACTATTTTCCTTCTGTAAGAGGCCAGCTCTGGAATTTATCATAGGTTCCCTCTTGGGATATAATTTCCCCCTCCTCTTTCTTCAACCTTCAGTAGGTGTTCAACCTTTGTACTGCCACGAAACCAAAACCTGCGGCTTCCTAAAGACTCAGTCCAAAGGGTCAACATCCCTATCTATGGCATCAGGTCAAAATACCCAAATTTTGTGTATTTGTTCAATGTTTTCAAATGTTTGCTCTGCAGAAAGCATCTGTGCAATTAAAAAGAAATATTCCAAAGCATTTGGTGCTTGCTGATTGTTTCTAAACCCATATTTGATTTTATTGGGTTTTTTAAACACTTTCATTTTTAAAGGAAATACACATTGGGTGGGCACATGCTTCACCCCAAAATGTCAAAATAGGAATCCTCTCTTTTTGGGTCAGAAACAACCGGTGCCATCGTTTGACTAAATTTACAAATTGCCTTACATTACACCAGACCTGGGCAAAGTGCGGCCCGAGGGCCCCCCCCCCGTCCGGCCCACGAACATCAAAACCATTTATAGGTTTTTGTCTAAAGTTGATCAATTGCTTATCTTTAACATACCACAAAAAACCTCTTTAGTATTTATGAAGATTAACAGGTTTAAAATAAAAACAATCATAACATCACTGTTTCATTTTATTTTTAAGTAAAGTTGGTTTGGCCCCAGAACACAGTTCTGATTTTTCATGCGCCCCCCCTATAGAAATTAAGTGCCCACCCCCACATTACACCTATATATGATGATTATCAAATCAAATTTAACTTATCAGCACTTTCTAACAGGAATATTAATAGGTAAAGGTTCCCCTTGACATTTAGTCCAGTCGTGCATTTTCAAATGTCTGAATGGCAGAAGGAAATCTTTTCTACCACACATTGATCAAATACACAGAGATCCATCTTCCACAGCAACATAAAGTGTGACACAGCATTTGAAGTGCACAGAGGTAGAACAGTGAGATAACTTTTTCAATTCTCTTATGGTTTCTCTAGATGATGATCACTGGGTAGTGGCCACAGATTATGACACATATGCTCTCCACTACTCCTGCCGGCAGCTCAATGAAGATGGGACATGTGCAGATAGCTACTCCTTTGTGTTCTCTCGGGACCCAAATGGGCTCTCTCCAGAAGTGCAAAGAATTATCCGGCAGAAGCAGATGGACCTTTGCTTAGAAAGACAATACAGGGTTATCATTCATGACGGTAAGGAATGTTTTGGTTCTGTTTAATAGAAAATATGGGTCAAAGAGGATAAGTAGGTGGAAATTCTAGTGCTGCATACTAGGAAGGACATTTTCCCCTATGTCTTATACATCATGAAGGGTTACAAATCCCCTAGTTTCCATTTAGATCTTGCTGTCCTTGTGGACCCCTTACTGCTCAAACATCCCTGTCTCTTCCTATGTACTGTAATGGCTCTGTTCCAAATTTAGAACCTCTGGGGAAACAGAACTCCTCTATAGCAAGGGGTCTTCATGCATACAGAAGAACACAAATGCAGGAAAGGGGCATATAGCAATCTCCTTTTCCTCATGTTTCTGATGCTCAGATATACAATGACTGTCTATCTGCCTGGTTCCAGCTCTTTAATAATAACTGTACTCCATATGGTCACATGTAACCTACTGCCTCTGTTTTATATTGTTGGCTGGGAAATTTTATCTGAGGTTTAGTTTTTCTTTGTTTGTTTCTTTTTTTTTCTTTTTTCTTTTTTAGGGTTCTGCCTTTAAGAAGACCAGTCTCTATGAAAACAATTCTAAAGCTGTAAAATGTATAAAATTGTTGTGTGAAAAGTCCTTCTAGTGGATTCATTTAGATTTTGAATATATTTATCTGAACTGTGCCCTTTACTCTTTCATCAAGTAAGTGAAATTTAATAAACTACAATTATTGGAGCGACATACTCTGCTTGTATTGCAAAGACACAGGTTGCAAACACTTGGCACTAGATACTCTCTATTTTGTTATCTGACATTTGCTCCTGTATGCTCCATTTATCTCTGAGGATGACACCGCACATACTGTTCCTAAATGCATTAACTGTATATTTCGGGATCTCTCAAGACAACTGAAACTGGCATAGAGCTTGGAAGGAAAATGACTATTTGGATTACAACTCCCAGAAGTCTTTTTTTTCCAAGCTCAGAGGAGTTGTGGTAATGCCACAAACAAAGTTACAGATGAATTTCTCTTATGGCCTGGAAAAGACTAAAGTCAGCCAAGATTCAGAGTTTCAGTAGATCTACCGAAACCTACCTCTACATCAACAGAAAAAGGAGCACTATAAGAATTTCCGATGCTCAATTTTTTGTTAAATATTCATAGGGATGCCAAGCCATCTCTTGTATGCTGCAGAACTGAAGTAGACAACAGGGAGCCTTCCGGAACTTCAGGGGAGGCAACTCCCATCTTTCCTCATGACCGGCTACACTCATAAAATTGCAGCCCAACAACGCCTGGAGGGCGATGTGTTGCCTATTTCAGCTCCAGATAATTTTGTGAGGACATAAAGAACAAAGAGGTGTGATGTTTTCAATTTGTTTGAAATGACCTTCTGTGTGATTTTCCTACTTCCTTCATTTTGCTTGAAATACTTCTGTACTATCTTTGGGTTCTACTGAAAAATGAAGTAGTACACTGGGATAACAATGACTGTAGTGGTGGCATCAGTAAGATCATACCTTCAAGCAGTGTTGATCGTTTGCAGGGAGCAATAATCAACAGAAGAAAGATAACATGTTCTCCAGACTGCGATCTTGGAAGAATGTTTTGCCAGGCCAAACTGGCATCCTTACAATCGTTCCTACACAGCAGTTGGTGCCATTGAACATGAAAAGGATTGATTGATTGATTGATTGATTGATTGATTGATTGATTGATTGATTGATTGATTGATTGATTGATTGATTGATTGATTGATTGATTGATTGCCTGCTTTTCATCCAAGGATCTCAAGGCAGAGTAAAATGTTTCTTGTTTTATGCTCAAAGGAATTTAAAGAGGCAGGCCAACCTTGTGGAGGAATAGAGAATTTGTCATCCTGATCCTAGGATCACAGTGTAGCTCTTACACCAGATCACACCACATGATGTGCAGGAGATGCTGAAAGCATTTCAACATACCAAAGAGTTATCTAACCTTAGTAATGTATGTGGAATAACTCTCTTTCCTACAACATAAATGCATTTGCTTTTATAAGTACAGAAGGGCTAGTAACCTATTGTCTAAATGCAGAATAGAAGAGCAATCAGGTATGTTTCCCTCCCACTCCAGCAGGCCCCCTGGCTGGTGTCCATTCTTACACTGCTTTCAAGATTCACAACAGAAGTGATTGCATGACGAGAAATCTGCCAGAGAAGAGAGAGGGACACTTACATGACTGCCCTTCTGCTCCGCATTGAAGCTATAGCATACCATCCTAGGCTTTTTTAAAAACCACAACTTGATTAAAATGGTATAGGTCTGCTGGAGACCAACAGATGAAATTATGTTTGGGGACAGTTTCAAAGTGCAGACCAACAACATGCTATACCTGCCTTAAGGAGGGGGAAAGGGGGGGGACTCATAACAGTACAAAATCATTTTACATTATTTTTATTAGACTAATTATTTTTCCGGGAATGAAGCTCCCTAAAATGCACAAAAACCATATTTATACCCCTATAATTTTTATTAAACTAATTATTTTTCCAGGAATGAAATGCACAAAAACCATATTTATACCCCTGAATTTATAGCAGTCTCCTCTTTATTACTCAGGAGTAAAGCCACACACCTCAGTGAGAGTTACTCCCCAATTAGGTGCATGTCATTGCAACCTTTAGACCCAGGTCCAGGAAACCATGAGCATAGCAGGACCCTGCATACCTAATGTTGTTGAGGAACCACTTGTTGATGCAATATTTAATATCTTGTCTTTTTCTTCTGTGGAGACATGGAGTTCTCAGATCAGCTTCCCATCCACGCATGATCAGATCGAGGCCTACCCAGCTTCAGCAAGATTACTGCTTCATGTGGGGTGAAGTCCACACTGTTGTGGCCTACCTATTAAGTTGCTGGGATGCCTAAGCAAAATCCTATGCACACTTGCTCCTCACTTTCTTCATGAATGTGTGGATGGAGCTCCACCAGAACAGCTCACTTAGTGATCACCACAGCAGTGCATTGCCCATGCCCTGCTATTTTTTTACACCATCAATGGGAAATTTGCAAGAGGAAATCTCTTGCTACATTTGTTTTCCCTCTCTTTTCTTAGCAAGTATCTGTTACTAGAGGAAAAGGTCCATGAAAAATAGTACCGTACGAAAAAGTGGAGTGCGGCTATTATTTGTACCTTTTCCTACTAGGTAGCCATCAGTTATATGTGGTAATTGTCCGTGTCACTGCCCCACAGAAACATTTTAAATGTGTGATTTTGGAAGCCGCTTCCCAGCTTCAAAGTTCCCATTTGTGCGAAGGAGACTGAAAAAAAATGCACACATTTAATGAGAAAAAAGTAGCAAAAACATTGAACCCAATTGAAAATACATGATTCTAACTTCTGTTTATTGCCATCAGTTTCAGTATTGCTTGTGGTCTTTATGGCAACAGTAACATTTCCTGCAGCACTAGCAAACTTCTGCGTGCAACAATATTGGGTACAAGTGTGGCAAAAATCTGGTGTTTTCCAGTCTTGCTTTCACCATAGCTTACTTTAGTCTAGAGCTCTACAAAGTTGGTAAGATTGTCCTGAACACCATTAAGTTAATGAGAAATGACAGACACAGTAAAATGTCCATGGTTATGGTGCCCAAGAGTAGTATCTGTTGCAGGTTCTTTCTTCCCCACAGGACCTGGGCAACAGATAAAGATTTTTCTCCACTCATGTTTGAAATGGGCTGCGTTGTATAAAACTGGGTTGAGAACTGAATTGGAAAATGTGAAAACCATTATCCAGAAGAAAAAAGAAGGCATAATGTTCACATCTGTCTTGAACTTTTGAACTAAAATGAGGAGAATAGTAATGATTATTGGACTCCACATGACAAAGAAAGAAACCATTAGTATGAACAGGGTCCGTAACAGTTTGAAGTCTTGTTGGGAGATTCGGACGTGACTTCTCTCTGAATAGGCCATGCCAGCATCCAGACGCTTCCTTGACGCTTTTGCGATCTGAATTAAAACATGGAACAACTCTTCAGTTGAGAATTTTTGCAAAGCTTTGGAAAATAAGCTTGGTGTATTGCATTTCCTACCTATAAAATACCATCAAAAATGGTATCATTGAGTTCATGCTTAACATCCCTTAGAGACAAACTGATATATTTTTCTAACTGTCTACAAGTCAATTCATAAGGATTCCCTTCTCTGTTATCTCCCCTTCCCTTCACCATTCTGGCTGCCTTCATATTAACATTGTGGTACCAAAGGAAACTCACTAAAAGGCAAAAGAGCAAAATAAATTCCACTCAAATTAGTACAGCCATAGTGACCATTTATGGATCTGCATTAGCAACGTATTTGAAGTGTATCTGGATATACGATATTTCCGTTCACAAGGTCTTACTCAGCAACCTGATGTAACTTACATCTACTAGTTATTCTTATTAAAGTTGACATGAAAAATTGATATGAAATATATAGTTAAAACAATTACATTTGTAGATAAAAGCTTGAAATTCTGTTTGCTAATTCCACCACCCATTTAATTAGATTTCCTTTCAGATAAACATGTAAAGCTTGATGCTGACCATTGTGATAATGTGAAAAATATTACAGTAAAAGAGTTCAGAGTAGGTAAGTGCCCAACACATGTTTGGGTCCTTTTCAACCACCTTGCGTCCTTTTTAAGGAGAAATGCAGGATAAAATTATTTTAAATGAATAATAAATAAATAAATTCTGCAGCCAGAGACTGTACAGCATATGGCAACACCCACACACCCAATTCCAGATGAGTGGTACTCAAAGCCAGGCAAGGTCCATTGGCACATGAAACAGAAAATCTCACAATGGTCTCTCCTTCTCTCAGGCACCAAAAATATGATGAGAACAAATGAAATGACTATTTGCTATCCTTTCATGACACATCTAATTCACTACCTGAAATGGGTCACTTCACTCCAAATAATGCAGAAGTGGGTCTCCAGAGGTCTGAGGACTACAGACACCCAATTTTTGCTATAATAAATGACTTCTGGTTTTGAAAAAAGTCCCCCCTCAGTCTAAGACAGCTGTAGGATGTGAGCAATTGCCCTGAAAAAAGCAAGGAGTTATAACAAGAGTTTTAAAAAACAATTTTTTAAAAAAATTGACTTTATTAAGAGTGGAGGGAGCTTTGGGTGGTCTGTCTGTCTGTCTGTCTGTCTCTCTCTCTCTCTCTCTCTCTCTCTCACACACACACACACACACACACACACACACACACACACAAACCATTTCCTCCCTCCCTCCCTTTTTCCCCTCCATTTTCTACAATTGCATACATTTAAATAAGCTTGACGAAGTCCTTGGTCTCTTGCACCTTTCTTCCCTCCTTTCCCTTGCTTGCTCCTTGATCCTCTCCCTCCTGCTGCTTGTTTGCAGTCATTTCTGGAGGAAGCAGTCATTCAGAAGCCCCGGATTGATTGCTTGATTGCCTGGGGCTAATCCACAGCTGCAACCAATCAAGGAGCTTATCTCCTGATCTCTCAACTACACAAGTGTCTGCTGCAACCAGGAAGTAACAGGGAGAGGTGGCTTACAATTTGAGATTTGGCTGCAGAGGGTGGGGGTTGGAGGGAGGGAGGGGTGTAGCACTCTGCTCATTACCCCCAGCATTTTCACTTTTACCCCATTTGAGGGAATGATCCTCTCTACAAAGAGTGAGGTTCACAGCTTGGGGATACATCTGGACCCGGCACTTACCATGGAAACCCAGGTGCCGTCCGTGGCCCATTCTGCCTATTCGCATCTATGGCAGATTGCCCAGCTGCGACCATATCTTGATGGGGGCCCCTCACTACTCTTGTCCACGCGCTCGTAATCTCGAGGTTAGACCATTGTAACACACTCTACATGGGGCTCCCTTTGAGATTGATGCGGAAACTTCAAATGGTGCAAAATGCGGCAGCCAGGCTTCTTGGTGGGGTGAGGAAATATCAGCATATCTCCCCCACCTTGGCTGCTTTGCATTGGCTGCCCATTCGTTTCCGCATTGATTTCAAAGTGCTAATGATCACGTATAAAGCCCTAAACGGTTTGGGACCTCGATACCTGGCAGATCGCCTTTTCCCACCCAGGTCTACCTGAATCACTCGGTAAAGCCAGCAGGGACAGCTGAGGGGCCTTATGCCGAGAGGGGCATGGAAGGAAAGAACAAGAAGTCGGGCCTTCTCAGCGGTGGCCCCTTGGCTATGGAATACTCTCCCTACGGAAATCCGTCTGGCTCTCTCACTGGGCATTTTTAAAAGCCATTTAAAAACCTGGCTGTTTAGGCAGGCCTTCCCTCCAGTCAATTAACTCATTTTCTGTTTCTTAATTACAGTGGTGCCTCGCATAACGAGCACCCCATTTAATGACGAATCCGCATAGCGATGCGGATTTTGTGATCGCAAAAGCGATCGCATTGCGATGTTTAAATAGGGAAAACATCACGTCGCGATGATCGGTAAGCGTTTTGCTTACCGATTTTCGCATTGCGATGTTTTAAAACAGCTGATCGGCGGTTCCAAAATGGCCGTCAGAAGAAAAAAATGGCTGCCCGCAACGTTTTTGCACGGTTTCCTCACTTACCAAGGTGGCGAAAATGGCGGCCGGATGGAGGATTTTCGCATAGCGGTGAGTTTTCCTCCCATAGGAACACATTAAACAGGGTTTAATGCATTCCTATGGGTTTTTTTGCCCCGTATAGCGACATTTCCGGATAGCGGTGATTTATCCGGAACAGATTATCATTGCAATGCGGGGCACCACTGTATCCCATCTTGCGAATGTATATGGATATTAGTTACCAGGTTTTTATGTATGCCATTTTATTGTATTTTATTACTCACGTAAGCCACCCCGAGTAGACTTTGTCTAGAGACGTGGGGTATAAGTTCAATAAAAGTAAAGTAAAGTAAAGGTAGACCAGGCCATCAAGGAGGTCTCAGAAATCTGGAGAAAGGTGTGTACTGTCTAAATACGGCACCCTAGGAGCAAGGCCCAATGTGCCCCACCCTAGCTGAACCTTATTCAACCTGTTCAAATAGGATACATTTCCCCAAAAAATGCTCAAGGGACTGCATGTTTTAAAGCAGAATACTATGAGATAAAAATGCCGAAAACATAATAATTTACTGCCAAAATTTAAGGGATTTCCCATACAGAGGCACAAATTGGTATAAGATTTTAGCTGATGTGTTTAGAAAAGTTTATTTTGTGAGAAAACAGTTCAAAATGTATACATTTCACACAGATTTTTAAAAATTGCACATGAATACAGGGAACTGGGTCTTTTCAGTGGTGGCCCCCACTCTCTGGAACAAGTTACCAGTATGCTAGGCTTCTTCCCTCCTTATGTTCAGGAAACTGGTAAAACCAGCATTATTCAAAACTGCCTTCAACAATTGAATATCCAGGATACTGTTATTTTCTATTTTTTAAAATTTTGTATGAATTTTAGACTTTATAGAATTTGTGTATTGCTTCATGGTTTGAATGTATGTTGTTATGTGGTTTTAAGCTTTAACCTGTAAACTGCCCAGAGTAGTGCTTTCACTAATGGGGCATAACAGAAATCAAATCAAATCAATAAATATGAAGGTGGAGTGAAACAAACGTAGCAACAGGTATGAGTAAAAATGAAAGGAACTGTGGGAAGACTGAGCCACCCATTCCTCCCCATAGGAGGAATGCCACTCTGTATCCTATGAAGGGATTGAGGGCTGGTAGATATTCTTTTAAAATAGTCATTCAATTACAATCTCTCATAGAACCCATTCGACTCCAAGTTAGAGAGGACAGTCAAGAAAGCCAAGTAGCTTCTCCCCTGGTATCTGACCAATTTGACCCTATCTGTAGGGTATGATTCTTACTGGAATTATCCTCCTATCTTTTTGTTACAAAGAGCAAAAGGAACTGAAAGGAAATATGGGATTCCAAACTCAAATGAATTACACTGAAAAAGGCAGATCAGAATTAGCCCACCTCTCATATGACCACTGGAGGAGACTAAAGAAATAACAATGTGTGTGTGGGGGGGGAGGGGGAGTGGTATCCTGTTCCATCATATTGCAATTAATAGTTTCTATTTCCTCTAGAGAAAGCCAACATTAATCCCACGGATATAAATTTGTATACTGTTCAAATACTATGAAAAGTATTTGCCCCCCACCCACCCGGGTGCTTTGCATTTGGCCTTCTCCAATCCTTCTATTTTATTTTTGTTATGTCAGACAATTGTTTTGCATATGCCTGTAGTGTATCCAATTGCTCTGAACTCTTTATTTTCATCAGAGACAAAAACAGAATTAGTTTTAAGTGTGGTTGTGTAAAGTTGCTATAAAACCTTTCCTTCTGGCAGCAGTGCATACACTGATCATGTTATTACTGTAATTAGTTTTCTTAGACTAGTTTTTATTGAAATTTTATTGAAAAGTAGGGTATAAATCCAATAAGTAAAAGAAGTGACATTTTTGTTGTGGGACAACACTGTTGTTTTGTGCTGTCAAGTTGTATCCAATTTTCACCTACCTTAATATGGTTTTCGAGGTAAGTGATACACACACACACACATATGTGAAGGGTGGTTTTACCTTTGTCCCCTCCCCTAAGTTTCCATGACCAAGTAGGGATTCGAACCAGGGTCTCCTGAGTCCTATCCATGACATCTCAGTCGCTCTTTACCAGCCTATCATGGGGATATTAATGTTTAGGATTTCAGACAGTATTGTTAATCATGCTACTTCTTCTCCCTTAAATCTACCCCAGTCTTTGCTCTCACACCAGGCTGAGACCTAGCTTTGCAATGGAAATTGTCTTTGTTGTTGTGATGAATATCTGATGCCAAAGGATAGACCAGATGAAGAGGGGGGTGTGTTATGTTGATTCAGTGATTTGCCATAGCATTGGCCTGGATATCCATCCAGGCTGTTTGGCTAGTCTGAGAGTTAGTGGCACCTCATTAAGCAGCTCCATTCCTTTCTTTCCAACATGTCTTTTTTTCCTTATGTTTCTAATACATTTTAGTTTTTAATTGCATTTACTTTATTTAGCAGTGTTGAATTCCAGTGCTTAGGAATGCCATTGTCGAAAATAGTATATTGTTTAGGAGAAAAGTGGGGTATTGAAAATAGTACAGTATATTGTTTAGGAGAAAAGTGGGGTATAAATCCAATAAATGAATAAAAAGAAGGTGCTGAAGGTCTACTACTTTGTCACCTGGGAATTGGTCTCAATAGGGTTTCACAGAGTTGACTCTTGTCTCTTCTACCTATTGCTGGGAGAGATTACCTGGCAGTCTGTGCCGTAGTATCACAAGAGACAGGGTGAGCCTGCAGAATATGAGCATGTTCAGCTATGCACGATACACCTTCTAGAAGAGCCCTTCTAGCCAAGATGAGCCCAAGCCTCCTGAGCAATGAAACACTGGATAACTGGCTTATTCTTGGAGACTCTAGACCCTCGGAACTAAAAGAGGCTTGCTGCCACCTGAAATGTAGGAGAGTTATGCTCTGGAATCAGAGACCCTTGCATCCTTGAAGGAGCACTGGTGAGCTAGGCTAAAGGCTACCCAATGGAGTGCCCATCTGCAAAGGAGTTTCCCTTGGGAGGAGTACCATCCTTTGATTAGAAATCTTTTGATGAAATACCTACAGCTGCCCCTTGGCTGGGATCCATAGTGCTCAGTATTAAAGCCCCAACTCTGAGTTGCAAAAGATATCTACGCTCAGAGTTACCCTTCCTGAAAGTCTGTCTCGCTGGGTTTTCTTTGGACTCTGCCTTTAGGACCTCTTGCTATAATTCTGGGACTCTCTCCTTGTTGCAAAAGACTCCCAGACCATCCCTAGGGGTCACCAATATCCTGAAGACATTCAGCACCATTTCTCCTTTTTCAGAAGGCATGGTAATGGAAACTGTGAGTGAAGTTCTGGGAACAATAGTGGACAAATAGGGGAGTGAAGAATTGGTTGAGGAATTACGAATTATCTTGTTCTGGATGGAGTAAGATTCCTTATGCAGCTTTAAAATGTAAAATGAGCTATTATTGCTGATCACAACCTCTCCTCTAGATTTCCAGCTTGGGGTAGTAAAGCAAAGCGTGCTGCTTATATACCGTCCCATAGCACTTCAAGCACTCTCTGGGCAGTTTGCAAGTTGATTATGCAAGCTACCCATTGCCCCCCCCCCCCAGCGAGCTGGGTACTCATTTTACCGACCTCGGAAGGATAGAAGGCTTGAGCCGGCTACCTGGGATTGAACCCCAGGTCATGAGCACAGTTTTGGCTGCAGTGCAGCGGTTTAACCACTGCCCCACCAGGCAGAACAGCAGCCAACATAGTGAATCAGTGCAACAGAGATATGGAAAGCATTGGAAGAACTAGAGAACATTTTCCTCATGTGATCAGGCCCTTGGTTAACTTACGTAGTCAAAGCAAAGCAAAAGCAAAGTATGCTGCTTATATACCGCCCCATAGTGCTTCAAGCACTCTCTGGGTGGTTTACAAGTTAATTATGCAGGCTACACATTGCCTCCCCCCCAGCGAGCTGGGTACTCATTTTACTGACCTTGGAAGGACAGAAGGCTGAGTCAACCTTGACCTGGCTACCTGGGATCGAACCCCAGGTCGTGAGCACAGTTTTGGCTGCAGTACAGCAGATTAATCACTGTGCCATGAGGCTCTTCGAGTATGGCTGCTCTAGGTTATGATGGCCCAGCCAATTGACAAACAGTTTGCTAAGCAGCAGCAGTGCAAAGGAGATGCATGGGAAGCCTGTTCCTGAGGCTTCAATTAGAGCTGTCTGTTTCATTATACGTGTAGCCCAAGGCCAGTTACCTTACACTAGTGTTACCTTACACTTTAATTTCTGAGCACATTTTAGACTGCTAATTCTAACCATTAAATGGACTGAGCAGATTTTAATCTTCTTAACCATACAACACACTGAAAGTCATAGATATTTACCAAATTGCAAATGTATTTGTTTTAAAGTTCAGAGTAGTTTTTATTCAATTTCTCAAAAACACTCCAATCCAAATTCCATTAAAAACTAAATTCTTTTAAAAAGGCTTAGATAATCGGCCAGTAAGGGAATTTTAAGGTATTTATGGAGCTCTAGCACCATCTGCCAGGATAATGTACAGTATATAATACAGTAGGACCCCCTTATCCATGGGATCAGTATCCACTGATTCACTTATACACAGTCTGAAAATATTTTTAAAAATCCAGGAAAAAAACTATTTTCACATGTATTACCAGGACTGGCCAGTAAAAGGAGTCAGAGATGAACACTTGTTAGTGAAGCTTACATGGCCTGGTCTCTGTGCCCTCTAGTAGTCAATTCCGGTAATGCACTTGAAAGTAATTTTTATATATAGCTTTCCATTATATGTATTGAACCACGGATAATTGTGTTTCCTATTATCCACAGTTTTCAATATCTACGGAGTGGGTTGGAGCCAATTCCCAGCAGATATGGGGGGCCCTACTGTACTGACTGGTCTCCTTTGGCTTTTTTGGCTTGCCTCTCAGTCCTCTTGTGATTCTGGGATTTTCTCTGGTTGAAAAAGACACCAGGAACATCATTTTGGCCAAACATTAGCAAGAATGTCCAAACACTGAGCGCAATTTGAAAATGGAATCAACTCCCTTGAGAGGGTGGTAGACTCTCTTTCACTATGTTTTCAAGTAGAGGTTGGACAGTAACGTATCAGAGATGCTCTGTGTATTCCCCACAGTGGCAAAGGGGCTGGATTCAGTGACCTTTGGGGTTCCTCCCAGCTCTAAAATTCTACAATTTTATGATGATATAGTTTCTAGACAACTGTGTTTTGGTTGGCCACTACAGTACAATAAATCAAGGGTTGTGCAATACTCTACATATTTCGCAGAAGTGTGATCTTGAGTTCTGGGCAAAGGGAATTCAGTGTTCAGAAGTTCTCAGCTCTCAAAGAGAGCAATGCCCTTGTGAAATTTTAACTGAATGTCAGACATCATCTGTCAAATTGAAAATCTACTTCCTATCCCTCTCCTTGAATTCTAAATTGAAGATTACTATTATTATTACGTTAATATATGAGAAACAGCAGCAGCAACAATGTAGGAAAATACCTGTAAGATCTTTGAATAACTTATTACAATGACTACTCCTGGTATGAGGAAGACCACGAAGACAAAACACGCGTCCCAGCAAGCTTCTCCAATAGTACTGGGCCAAATCAAGGTGCAAATGTACACTTCCTGTAAGCAAAGAACAAGCAGGCCATTAGTCGGTATTTTTACTTTCATCATAAGGTTTCTGAGTGATGCATCAATCTGTCCCGCCTTGGTGTCCATTCTGAGAACAGATTGTCACTAGCCAAACAAGACGCATGGAAATAGTTAATAATCAAAACGCATTTCTTATTATAAGGTGGGATGTGTTCAAATAAACTCACCAAATTTGAAACACAAAACTAAATGATTGTGGCAATATAATTAAACAGCTTGGCAAATACCGGAAGCCATTTGTAATCTTTGTACTCATTTTACCTCTATTACATGTGATTTCCCTAGACCAACACCTGCAAGGTACACAAAAAATCCCAAGGTATGTGCATTATTGCTGTCTGATTACATTGTCCCGTTATCTCCCACAGTACACATAATTCTGCATTTACGTTCGCATGTCTTATACCATGCACATGTACAACAGAGTCTGTGTATTCTTCAGTATGAGTGATCCAATCTGTACTTTACAATATCAACATTTTCTAAAAAGTTGATCATCAATTCATTAATAAAAATACTGGCCAGAATCCTGTAGGGAAGGATATCACTCTGGTGTAAGTGAACTCAACATCAGCCACAGAAACAAAGTGCAGTCAATTAACAAGATGCCAGCTACATAGTAGTCATGTGACTAGTATCTTGTAAATTAGCTGCAATTTGCTGCTGCAATTTACCCAGTTTCATTTATTTTGAAATAAAAGCCCAGCAGCTTTCTGGCCAATTTTGTTCATGTTGGTTTGAGCCAAACAGTCATAATTAGATCCACTGAAGTCCCAGTGACTTCAGTTGGTCACAACTGATTTGAACTCCGTTTATTTCAATGAGACTACTGTCCCTAATGTGGACCCAACAACCCACTGTATTTTCTCATGGTCACTGAAAGCTGAAGACGGGCTAAACAGGAAAGTAAAAAGAACATTTTCTTATTCTGTTTTTATAAATCAGATAATAATTGTGTGCCTTGTCCGACTTATGGAAACCCTTTCTAGGGTTTTCTGGGTATAGCATACCTAGAAGCAGTTTACCTTTCCCTTCTTCTGGGCGCTCTCTGAAACTGATATGGAAGGAAAGCTGGCGGGCTCTTCTTCCAGAAGGTACAGTGGAAGAACTCCCAACCACTGGCTCCACAGCCAGGTGTTCCTTCTCACTGACCTACCCAGCCCAACTATATAGAAAAAAAGGTCCATGCTTAAATGAACTTTTTTTTCTATTAGACAATGGACTTTATTGTCAGTCAAACAGTAATATAAGTATATTTACAGTTTGGGTGGAATTTAGAGATGCTGGTTTCAGCATCTGCACAGACTTGCTTATCAAGAATCAACGCCTTGGCCCATTTAGTTTATTGTCCACACCAGGATTGGAAGATGTGTGGCCCTCCAGATGTAGTCTGGATGTCAAAACTCATCATTCCTCACTCTTGGCCACATGATGGCAGGGATTCAAGGGGATTGCAATCCAACCAGCATCTGGAGCGCCATGCATTTCCCAGGCATTGTATATTCAGATGAGTCATCTTCTTCCAACTCCTGGTTAATTTAGTTGGTTGTGTTAGCACAGTGGTCCCCAACCTTGGGCCTCCGGATGTTCTTGGACTTCAACTCCCAGAAATCCTGGCCAGCAGAGGTGCTGGTGAAGGCTTCTGGGAGTTGTAGTCCAAGAACATCTAGAGGCCCAAGGTTGGGGACCACTGTGCTAGCAGGAAGAGCCAAGCAAGAGAGAACTGGTTGCAAGCACTTGCAGTAGGATGACAGCTTTGTGCTCTAGGTGCAATTAAGATCGGATCCATCCCATTATATTGAACAAGCTCCCTCTGGCACAATTGGCTCCCTTCCTCAGAGAGAAAATAGTTCTGACTTGCATCTTCGAGTCTTTCTGTGCACACAAATATAGGAAGAACTGGTAAGTTTTCCTTCCACGTCAGGTCACTTACTATCTTTAACTCCATATCTGTCAGTATCTGGTTCTTCCTCTGGGCAGTCTTTTTCACCACCATTGTTTTCCATAAAAACAGAGGCAAAGCAAACATTTGATACTCTGACACCATATGCAAATAGCTTTTAACCGCTTTCCCATTTTTAGTACACTGTAAGCTTTGTCCTTGTCGTTTTCATGGTTGCTGTCACAGCAAAAATCATTTGTAAGAGGGCCAGAATATGGATGCAGTTCCCATCAGCCCTAACTAGTATAGCCACTGGTGCGGAAGGATGGGAGTTGTAATCCCACAGCATCTAAAGGGCTAGATTTCCTCACCCTTGGTTTCTTTGGACTTGGTGTTCTATGCTTGAAGCCCATTCAGTCTCTAAACAACCCTTGGAACAACCCTGTAAGAGAGTTCAAGATGATGTGTTATTGCTAGGAATTTGATAGAACCAGTTTTCTGAGGCCTCCCTTGTGTCAACTACACTTCTGTATCTTGCTCTCGCTCTTTCTTCTACCTAGTCTTCGCAAGATGGAGTAACCTGCTTCCATGAGTCTGTTTGAGACATTTGCCTAGGTGCACCGACACACCACCTAAGCCATGCTGTCATAAACTGTATTGAGAGTTGGGTCCAACCTGCTAGATCTGGGTGGGTCAAGCATTAACTCCAGCTGGTAGATGACTGCAATTTCCATGAGCCCAAACCAGCAGAACCAACAATGTTGGACGCTGGGAGTTGTAGTCCATCAACCCCTGGATGGCTGTACTTTGCTGCCTAAGCTTTGCAGCTGCATGTTCAGCTATAGGTAAACTGGGACTCTTCCGGTTCTAACACCATAAATTAAATTTTCAAATTGCGATACATCAATTGCCAGGCCTAACAAAGACCTTTAATATCGTGATCTGTATTTGTCGCTCTGTATGCTGTTGATCCAAGGGATCAAGGCATTTCACATGGTTCAGAAACAAGTGAACCAGTCCTATATAATCTCCTTCGGTATGCTTACACTATGTGATCTTGGTGAAGCAAGCAAAGAACCTGGTCATGATGAGCCATTAGCACCTTTGGAGAACACACCTGTGGGCTCCACTCTGCATTGCCCACATTCTTCTTGGAGCCTACCTACAAGACCACTTTTGGTCTGGACTTCTAGGAAAAACTAGGGACCATCTATTAATGGCAGATGATTTGATTCACTGCCACATTCTGGATATACTAAGAAATCTTGGTTTGGCTTAATGCCCTGAGGAACACTGTGGGTGTGTGAAAAGCAGTCTTAGATCGAAGCTGAATCCTGTTATACTTAATGAGACTGAAGAAACTGGAAGGGGTAACTGTCTCATATCCTTCTTCTGCCCCCTACTTTAAATCCACTCAAAAAGTAACTCATCGCCCTTACAATGATACAAACAGACAGCTGTGTCACAGAACAAATGGTAGAAACCTTTCTAGAAAAGTCCATTAGGGAAATAATCCAGAGACAGGTAGGTGGGCAGACATTTTGCTGCCTGGGGTGAAGGACAAGATGGCTTCCCTGAGCCACACCTCAAAGCCGACTGCCGTTGGAGCTCCGTCTTGTGGGTAGCCTCCTCCACTGAATCTCAAATAGCAGGGTACCTTAAAGGGTGCAAAGCAAGCCATGTTGCCTACACTACTCTGCTCTTCAACAAAAGGGGGAAAAATGGAGTGGGGAGGCTGAGGAAGACAGATGGGAAAGATACGGTATCCCACACACCCCACCGCTGGCCAGCATTGTTTCCCTGAGAGGATCGTCCCTGCTTAGTTGTTGGCGAGACCCTAGGCATCCCTGTGCCCTCTGCTTCTGTGCTTCAAATTCTCTGGCCAAATTTGCTTTTCATTAGAAAAAATGGCCCACAGGTTTTAATGACAGGCATGTACATTTGGCCATGCAGTTCCTTTCAATACGAGCACTTTGAAATGCTATGCTCACCCCCTTTCCACAATGATTATTACGGCATTTATTTATTATTTGAGTTATTTCTTGGTCACTCTTCACTCACAGGCCATTCTCTTCTAATAGTATAGGGACAAGGTCTTCAGAGAATGGTATTTCCAATATATCAAACAAAAGTTTCAGAAAACACTCTCTTGCTGTTGCATAAGAAGGGCAGGAATTATTATTATTATTATTATTGATTTAATTTATACCCCGCCTATCTGGTCGGTAGTGCTGTCACATGGACAAATTGTCTCGGAGTAAAGGAAGGAAGGAAG